GAAACTATTTTCTGATTTTCAGTAATAAAACTAGTTTTGTTCTATTAAAACTGTTAGGAAAAAATTTGGAATCTATTAGCATTTATTGCTTTTCTCTGAGAGCATTTCAGACTACATGAATGATTTATTTGTCAGTTTGCAGAGGAAATAAAAAGTATTGCTGCTTAGATACCTTCATAATCCTGCACAGAGCGTGTGCCAGCTCTTCCATTAGCAAAAGTGTAGACAAATCAAGCTGCCAGGCATCCCGGGGTTAAGCAAGCTCCTGACAGTCTCCTGAGGTTATTTTGGTCAAAGCCATGTGTGACACATCTGATGGAAACCCAGATGAAATTCATTTGGGTAGATTAGGAAAAAAAGTGCTATGATAAACCATCATTTCGAAGTTACATCAAAATAATGGGGAGGATCACGTCCAACAGAGAGAGTTTGGCAGCGATGACTTGCCAGTCAGTTGGGTCTTCCCACCTGGCTCAGTGCGGACACAACTGCTGCCCACGATCTTGGGCCACTGCACTTATGATCTGGCAAGGTGTGCATCTCCCTTTGTCAATTTAAAGCATTAGTTTTATGTAGATACTTGTTCTTCTGATCCTCCTGTCTCCTCCTGCTGTTTGTGGCTTACCTGCAGTGGGGCAGCAAAGACTTTCTTGTTACCTGCAGCAGCGTGAGGGCAGTAAGGGGATGGGCTGCAGAACATCCCAGGAAATAAAGGGCAGAGGGGGCCGTGCTGTAGCCCTGCCTTGGCTAGCGGCCCCACATGGGAATCTCCCCTTCAGGAAGCTGACTTGTAGGGAGCAAGGAAACCAGAGTGGTTGGAGCTGTCTAGCATAAGGTAGTGGGAGCTCACTTATCTCTCCTGCAATTTGGAAGTCAAAGCCTCCAGCACTGTAGAAGCTCCCTATGCTGTTGCCACAGACTGGGACTTGAGGTGTCTTCTGGCTAGGAGCAGCACAGTGAGGTGTTGCAGACCCCTAACATTTCCTTCTCGTTCTCCTTCCTTATTTTCCCAAAGCTCCAGGGCAGCAGCTGCTCCCCATTCCGATGTTATATTTGTTCTACAGATATGCTGGAAATTGACTTCTGCCCTGTTCTCTCCTTCCAGCCCTGAACTGGGAGCTGAGCTAATGGTAGGAACCAGAGACTGTTTTAACTTCTGTACTAAAGAGGATGGTCTTGGCATCTAAAGCTTGTGTATGCTGCAACGAGATGCTGAAAAGGAACAAAATTGATGAGATGTCTGGCAAGTTACTCAGTGACCCTGATGAATGTGTGGAATGAAGCTGGGAGAGCCAGGTTTCCAACCATCCAAACAACCAGGATGTTTTTATCAGACAGAGCTGCTCCTTTGATCCACAAAGGAGAATTAGGGAACGGAGATAACCTGCTGCAGGATGCAAAAGCTCTTTACAGGTAAGACATGAAAGAATAAATGTGTGAATTGATAGTAAGAAATACAAGGTTACAGAATGTGATATATGTCTTTTTCAACTACTGAAGTGCACTGAACAAAAGGAGGGCTCTTTGCTATTTGTATGTTTTGTAAAAATGTTGTGTATTTTTAGCATTTTGTGGACTTAAAATACCTGCTTTCTGTTAAATGTTGCTGGCAAATGGTTGTGAGATATACCAGCAGACTTAAACATACAGGTAATAGCCTCACCTTGCCCTGGTTTTATTCCTTTTTACTGATACCTGTCTTTCCACAGTAACATTTGAAAGTTTTTGCTACACTTTTATTTTGTTTAAAATAAAAAGTTGTTTCTGCCACTTGCTCAGTCTGTATTTATGCCAAATGCTGAATTTCAGAAAGGAAGGGAAAGTTGCATAGTTGTCACCTTGACAGGCTAAAGGGAAATGCTTTTAACAGCTATGGAAAAAAAAAAAAAAGACATTGTAGAACATGTAGTTTATAAATCAGTGCTCCAAAGGGAGATCTTTATCAAAGCGCTTTATTGACGTAAACACATCAGTCTTAAGCATGGCCAGAAGACTGAAGTAACCTTTTTTAACTAACTTCCTAGTGTGTGATACACACTCCACCCAAGGTGCACAAGAAATACCGCCATTGAAGTGTGAAGCTCTTCCTGTCACTTCTTCCATGGCCAAGTTCGGTGGTGTCTCTGGATACAAAGCTGCTGAGCTGCTTCCCTGTCACTTAGGATGAAATTAGGGAATGAACAGTCTTCAAAAGTTTCAGATGGCTGGTACTAGGCAGCAATGACAGTACAAGAGCAGCTGGGAAGACATCTGTTCCCTCCCAGGAAGCAGGACTGTGTGGGCAGGCCCGGGTATGTGCAGAGTGGTGGAGCCCGAGATGCACAAACTCTGTTGGTCTGCAGGCTCAACACAGCGCAGGTTACTCTAGTGCACAACACAGCTAGCTGCCCTAGGGAGCTCCTGTTGCAGTGTTTGCAGATGTGAGAGTAGTGAAGGCCGTTCAGCCACCCCTGCTAGGCTCTGCCCAGAGCCTAGGAATGTGAAACAGATGTCTGCTTCTGGCATTTTTCCTGAACTTGAATGAGGCTGTTTGTATTCAACACAGCTGCTCTAGAGGGTCATAGTTTCTGATGGAATGTGTCCTATTACAAAGCATTCCAGAGGCTAAATTTAGGGGTAGCTTTCTGGAAAAAGAAAAGTCTGAAAGGAAATATTTATAACAAATGAATGTTTTCTTCTCCCACTTTCTCTCCATACAGCAGGAGCCAGCTAATGATCATTACAACCAGGAAACAGAAGATTTTTGCTAGAACTGGCAGGTATCATTCAGCAAGTATCCAAGCTGAGGGAGCCTGTACAGGAGGACCTGTGATCTCCAGCAAAGTAACTATGGTTTGCCCTTACTGTTGTTTACATCATCTCACAAACATCACTTAAAGAAACATCCAGATCTAAAGTAATAGAACTGTCCATCCCTAAGTAGCAGAAATCAGATCTTTTCTTTGATATCCCACAGGGTCCCTTTACTGAAAAGTCATTCCCCAACTATGTGCTATAAATTTAAACAATCTAACCAGTTACTGTTGCTTCTCTGAAAAGAAAAGTGCACACCCAGGGTGCCTCATAAGGCAAGTGCCAACATCCCAATAAATGATTTAACACAATTATTATGTAGTGGTGAAAATCAAGCAGAGATTCAACAAAGTGTAATTTACTAATTCCTCCTCAGAGTGCAGGCTGAAGCAATCTGTTGGCAGCTTAGTCATCCTTCTGTTTTCCCCCAGCACATATTTGCATTCCTTTCTTCCCCAAAATCTGGGAGGGCAAATTTATTTTCTATCAAAAAAAAAAAAAAAACAACCCACAAACAAACTTTCTTCCCTGAAATCTGGGAGGGAAAATTTATTTTCTATCAAAAAGAAAAAAAAAAAACAACCCACAAACAAAAGCAAACCCACCAAGCGCGCATTGCCTACAAGCTGCCTGCATGCATTGCCATGGCTGAAGTTTCATTTGTGGTGCAAAGGTTGGCAATGTCAGAACTGATCAGTTCACTGATTCATTAAGAGAGGCAAAGATAGTATTAACAGCTGGGTCATTCTGCTCCTTTCCCAACATTAAAACTACACAAATATTGTCTTTATTTACCATTGCATTCATACGTCCAAGCAAGTGTTGATCATTCAAAGGATGCTAAGCCAAATAAGCAGATTAAGGCTGCTGCCGAGTTGGCTTTCTGTAGAAGCCCTGTGCAAACTGGGTGCCTCATTTCTGAAATGGGAAGATTTGGATTTGTTTCTGTCCCATTTTGCTATGTGACTTTAGATGTTACACTTGGGTCACCACTGCCTCAGTTTCCTCAGCTGCTCAACACACACTAGAGTGGACTACTACACAATGGTTTACATAGTGTTCGTAAGCTTCACCATTTTTAAAATAGCATCTGAGACCCTCCAAGAGAAAATACTACTGAAATGTAAAGCATTACCATCAAAGAGGTGAGCACAATCTACTTTTTTATAAATGTATTAGTTACTCTCCAGATAACTGATGACGATTAAGGTAACATTGCACATGTGCAGGCACCAAAATACCCGATAGGATTTCTTTAGCAGGTTGTTATTTTTCCATGTCGTCCATGTCTAGAAACATCTTTTACAAAAGTTCAGATTACCTCTGGAATACTATCTTAATGAATTTTCCTATTGTCAGTTTCCACCAAAGACAATAGTTTAGTGAATGCCACATTTCCCACACTAGAAGGTCAGGCTAGGTGTTATTACTATATCTCAATACTTTTCAAGCAAAACTTGTCATTTAGCTGTCAAACTTTGCCAGGAAAGTCTTTCAGCAGAGGGTTGCTGGACTGTTCGTACTGAAAACTCTGAATGACTCCCTCCTATATTGTGGCAGGTGCATGAAAAAAAAGCCTACCTCAAAGATACTGTATTTCCTACAACAAGCAACAAGTAATTAAAAATAAATAATGTTTTATACAGGTCTAAAGAGCCCTCCGTATCTGGCTAATCCAAGTTAATATAATAAAAAACAGGCAGATTATTTAGAAGCTTTTATACTTATTGCTAAAACGTGTTACAACTTTGCACACATGAACTTATACAATTTTTGATGTCTGAAGCTAAAATTATACCAGCAGTCCAATACAGTTGTATTGAATGTAAAGATTTTAACTGCAAATTAGCCTGATGTACTTGTAAAGTCCAGTGTGCAAAATACAATTCTAAAATGCAGTTTATGACTAATCTTTGGATAGTGAGAAACCTGGTAAAAACAGGTTGAAAAAAATATTTTTAAAGTAAAAAAACTACCGATGCAATAACTAATAAAATTTAAAAGTCAATTTTCATTATATTTTTGTAGATGCCTGTAAGCTAATTTCCTACATGCTATTTTTGTAGGAGTAATGAAACATTTCTTTAAGAAAATCCAAGTGATTTTATTTTGCTCATACATATATATATAGTTTAACACTAGCATCACCACTTATATACAAAATTAATGTAACACAGCAGAATACCAATGATTTCCTCATCAGGTAATTACGATCGAGCAGACAAACACTGATTCACCACTTCCAGTAAGTGAGAGTTTTCCAAAGCAGCTGCTACACGTTCTTTATCAGCAAGCTGTTTATTAACTGTGCAGAAAAAAACACCACAAGAAACCAGTCAAAACATTGTTATACAATCTCTTATTTTAATCCCTTTACTTTGAGACCCATAATCACACAGTTGCTATGGTACTCAGGTAGACCAGCAATTCTGCAGATGCTAAGTACACTGCAGAGGTGCAGTCTAAAGTCAAAGCTATCACAAATTAAACCAGGAAGCTGTTTATGATTCAGCAGCAGGGAGCTCTGCATATGTAGGTGTAACACAAGAAGAAATGTCACCCCAGCTTCTCACCATTGTCTGAGTCCTCCATAATCCAGGCAAATCAATAACTAGTTGAGAGCACAGGTTGCCTGAGGAGATGGTTAAAGTACGGTACAGAACGTATCTAAGTGTCATTATTACACATTCCTGTTCTGTAACATCCCCCGGAAGGTGATGCATGTGAAGTACCAGATACTAATCAGCTGCTCTGCAGGTGTGGGAGCCTCCTCTCTAATTTTCAAAATTTAAAAAAAAAAAAAAAAAAGACGATCATAAAACAGAGCACTGAAAACCTTACCTGCATGCTCAGATGCATGTGTTCCTGGTGTTATATGAACATCCAGCTTAACAAGCATCACAAAAGAAAAAGAGAACAAGTCAACAAAACATTCAAGTCTCAAGTTCAAACTATTTAAGAATAAAAATAAGGCAATAACAAAAACAGGGGGGAAAAGGACATTCTTGTTAATACCAGTTACTGTACATAGCAGAATAATATAAAGTCTAAAATCACTTCATATTCTGCATTTCCATCAGCTTAAGCCTCCTTCAGACAGGGGGATGAGGCACCCACCTCGCTCCTCCTGTGCCGTGGAGCACTGCAGGTGACTGCCCTCCATAACCCCACTAGCCCTTGACGTGACTGTTGCAGAACCACAACTCTGCACCCGTATTTTACTCCACTCCCCTCTCTGGTTCCTGGAGTGTTTCCCCCACCCATAATACAAAAAAAAAAAAAAAAAGCTCTAGTTATTATTCACTATTAGCCTTTTTTTTTTTCTTTCCTCCTTTCAAACACAACCCCCCTCTTTTGCTTTCCAGAGTGATTTGATTACTCACCTTAAATCTCTCAGGCAGAGATCTGATCAATTTTACCTTTATGGAGAGGCCGATTAACGTCGCCATGCTGCAGTGAGGAATGGTGGGAGTGAACTCCACTGCCACCGTGCTTTCTGCGTCATTCACCTGTTAAGAACCAAACACTTGCCATGGACAAAACTCGCGGCCCTCGCCCCAAGCTAGCTGCAGGTATTTTATGTGAAATGCAACTGGGAGCTGTACTTTGCCGCTTATAGTTTTCTTCACTTA